AATAAAAGGACGAGATGATAAAAAAAAAAAAAAAGAAAAGAAAAAAAAAGGCGTACAGTCATCGGCAAATTCCACAAATGCAAAGCAAAGATGAGAGTGTGGATCCCCACAAACTCTACAGTCAACAACATGAAAAAGGCAAATAGACAATAAATAAAAACGAGATATTTCAAGGCAATATTATATAAATGTCTCCTAAAATATTCTAACGGAAGTATATTGTAAATTAACAAATAACATTTATGGTTAATTATAGCAACACATCCCGAGGGATATCAATATTGGAAAAAAAACTCCAGTCATTCTTCAAATTATAGATACCACAAATTCATTTTATTCCTCATATAAACCGAAAGAATTGAAGACTCTAAGTTATAGACATTGCACCATATATTCATGAAAGAGATGGTACAATAACTTACCAGTCCATAGCCACTGAATAATGCAGCTAGCTGCTCCTCGGTGATCTAGTTTTAAAAGATAAAAAAAAAAAGAAAATATGAATTTAAATTCATTAATATGATAATATGACCAAATCTTCACATAGTTCACGTACATTGTGATCAATGTCCGAAACATAGACAGTTTGTCTAATACTGTCTTCTCTCTGAGCTCTAGAAGCTCTGCCACCCATTCTATTCTTAACCTGGTTATAATTATTCCTTCTCTGTGGAAAAAAGTTAAAAGAACAGTTTAAAACGGCATTAACAAGCTTTTAAAAGTTAAAACAATATTTGAAGTCATATTATGTGACGAGCATCAACTAATAAATCGGATTACCAATTAAGATACCTGAATAAACAGAAATTTACATAATCTGTGGTTCTTACATAGATTGACATTGAGATTCACACATGTAAGAGCATTTATATACAACACCAGAAAATTGAATTAGTAAATCCTTCTGTAAGTGCATTTATATAAATAAAACAATACAATAGATGGCATTTTTCATCTCCAAAAAAGGATTTTTCCTCAAGCACAAACAAGAAACAATAATTCAAGTTCTCGTAATCCATCAACAAACGAATGAATATTATTACCATTACGAATCCAAACGTAAAGAGAGAAGACAATACGCAAAAAACCTTAATAAAAACTTAACAAAAAGAACTATAAAGTTGCACGCACGCCTCAGTTTATCCGCTATAAGGGACATAAAACTTCATTCTAAAATTCATTCCACCAAGGAACAGATGTAAAATATTCCCCATTCGTTCTCAATAACATCAAGCACCAAATTAATCCGACACTAAAAACCGAGCGATTCAATTTATAATCAAGCAAGAAAACTCATAAAAAGAATGAATCTCATAATATTCAAGCTCCACAACATAAGTTAAACTCCAAACAATAAATCAAACAGACCAATCAACCAACTCGAAAAAACACAATTTATACCTTTCGATTGTTCGAAAAACCATCATTTCCTAAAAAAAATTCACTAGGCACAAAATTTTGAGCCCCCATTTGGCCCTGATGGTAGGAGGATGGGACAAACTCCTTGGCCATGGGGTTCAACTTGAGCTTCTGCAACATATCAACAATTCCTTTCATTTGCATACCGGATTTTAGGTTCGAATCAGAACACTTAAGACCATTATCAGTCACAACATTTTTCCTCGAATCGACAGAATTAAATTATCAATTTTCTCATCAGTAATGGTCTTAGCAACAACTGGGCTCTCAATAGAAACCTCAGCACCAGCAGCCATTGGATCAAACAAAAAGCACCCACAAACACGGGTTCAGATTAAATTACAGTAAAAATAAAAATTAAGAGCAAAGAGTACCGAGAATGAGAGCCGAGAGAAAGAGTACCGATTAATCAAGAGCAAAGCTTCAAAATCTGGAACTTTGAATTGAATTGAGCCAGAGATTACAAACCCTAAACTAAATCAGACCTAACTAGTACAAACACAGAGAGAGAGAGAGAGTATCGTGAACCCTACCTGACGGGGCCGAGAGAGAGTACCGAGAATGAGAGCCGAGAGAAAGAGTACCGAGAATGAGAGATTCGCCGAAAATGAGAGATTCACCGTGAAATTCAACGAGAATGAGAGCCCTTTTTTCGTCGACGGGGCCGAGAACGAGAGATTGGCCGAGAATGAAAATTGAGTGCGGGGAAATGAAGATGAATAAAGGGGGAAAATGGTGAAAAAAATGAAATAGGAAAAAGTTGATAAAATGGTGTCTAAGGCCAATTATGTCTTCTCACATGCCTTAATGGCTATATTTCATCTTTTTTAAAAAGATGGCTAGATTTCATCTTTTGTTTTGTTGAAGTGCTATAAAGCACCATTACCACATTTTATTATCTCTCGAAGTATTGAAAAATGAGATGTGAATTTGGACAATAAGTGTTAGATATGTTGTAAAAGCTGGACTTTCAGATATAAACAAATACCATTTTGATCTGGCAATCGTGTTTTAGTCAAAGTACTTATGTTTGCAGTTTATTTATTTATTCAACCATAACTCCATTATTTTATATTGTAGATAATATGGTTCGTCGTATGTCGAACAAAAAGATCATATTATCGGTTCCTTGTAAAATATAAATTTATTGTTCATAGTTTAGACAGACAGTGAGACCCCTGTTGCAAAAAGACTGTAGTGTAATCTTGATTAAGCTGATCTTTAACTGATGGGTTACACTAATACTTATGATAAGTATTGAACGGACCGCGGAAGGATAAGATTATAAGATTTACTAATCGTGGCTATAATCTAGACCTTCAGTAATTGGTGTGTACTCTTAAGTTATAAGATAATAGAAAATGGGCATATATATTCATTACTTATTTATTTGATTTACCAAGGGTAATTTCTATTCTGTTAGGATGACGTACTCGGTATTTTGGTAAGTAAGAGTGTTTATATGATGTGCTGTTGTAAATTATTTACAGTCAATATGTCCCAGTGCGCTAGGTTGATGACGTCCCCGAAATGAGCTTCGAAAATAATATTATGTCAAACCCTGCAGGTGGATAATTATCCGACATAATGATTAATGAACTGAGTGGTACTAATTTCCAAAATGAAAGAATTTAATTTAATTTAATTGGCAGTAATTAAATTAATTGATTGACGTAAACGTAGGGAAGTAAATCGATCAATAAGATTAATATTTATTAATCATTTGGAGGTTCGAATTTATTGAATAAATTGGAGCTAAATGGGGAGAGTAATAATATTGCTCTATTGGAATGTTTTATTATTTAATTCTAATTAGGATTTTAGGAATTAAGAATATTCCATATATTAGATTCCATTAGGAGAGAAATATTCCTTCTAAAATATTACATAGTGTTAGAAGACTATGGAGTCTTATAGAATGTAACAAAGGGTAGGAGGAATAGGACTTCTACATGGGATAAGATATGGAGCATGATTAGGATTTCTAAGTCTTATGGAATGAGCTCATATTTAGCACCTCCTTAAGGTCCCTAATGGAGCCTATATATACATCATGTCCCAACCTCTTCCCTACATGATGTTACACAATTTTGCCACCTTCCCAAGAGAGAGATTTGTGTTCTTCGAGAGTTTGGGAGATTCGATTAATTGCACCACCAAGATTAATCGAAGTAGGTGTTTAGGTAATCTGTTTGAAGGTTTTTGGGTAATATTTATTCGAGCCTTTTAGTTGTTTCAATCCGGCCACCTACCACCACCATCCGCCGCCGTCGACCACCGCCGGAAATCGCCGCCACCGCCCAGGATTGCTGGAGACTGCCCGCGCCCAGCCAGCACGCAGCCGCGAACCAGAGCCCGCAGCCGCACGCCAGCTAGATGCCTGCGCTAGCATTGAGCAATGCCCGACAGTTCACTGCTTTCAAATAGTGAGCTTGACTACTGTCAAGCCACGCCACACAAAATTAGACAACAACAGAACCTATTGTAGAGATAAATGTGAAGACATTATATTTAAAAATGACATGGCATTTATTTTTTTCACTTGACACTAATACATTGGACATGCTATTAATTAGGGTGGCAACCATATTCATTCAGTTTTCTCAACGCCTGATTTTAATTATCAATAGGCATCTTGATCTTGGTGGCATCATCAGCTTCAACAACTCGCTCAAAGGTCACTATCAACGGCTTATGAGATCCAAACGGGTCTAGGCTCATGCCCAGGCGTTGGCCATCCAAGATGGTGAGGTCCTTACACACGCCCACGTTGCAGTACCCGAGCTTGTAGAACCTTCCGTGGGGCTTGATCTGGAACGTGCTGGTCACGGCCCCTAGCTTCCCACCCGTACTCGTGACGAACGCCCCGAGGAAGGGATCCACTCAGGCCGCCCATACGCCGCCGTCGTTGCACGAATTTTCGTTGGAGGCGATTGAGAACTGGATGTCGAGGTCTTTTTGGGTGTAGACAACAAGACCATACTCTGGCGATTCCTTGGGCAGGTGGAAGGTCATAGGGAGGCCCGACCCAGAGTTGGCTAGGACGACGTTGAGAGGGCAAGTGTCGAGGTGGTCTGCGGTGAGAACCCCTTCGCGGATACGCCGAGTGGCTGACCTGATGCGGTATTGGAAGCCGATTCGCACCTCTTTACCGTTTGTGTCTCGGATCGGGCTTTGGGCGGCGGCGCATGAGAGGAGGAGGAGAAGGAGACATGTGAGGAAGATGAGATGAGGAGTGTTCAACATCTTCTTCATTTATGTTTGTTGTGATTTGTATGATAAGAGAGATGTATGGGTATATATGCGGCTATTGGGCGAAGGTGCTTTTGACTCCTTTTATAAGGCAAAAAATCGTACCGACACCTTATCAATTTCGCCTGCCTTCGTGACCAGGAAATTGGATAATAGCCACTCGTATCATCTAGAGTTTTTAAAACGCGTGTGCTCTTTGTACGCACTCGTAATTTCTTGATGAACTACTTAACGTCCATTCTTTCATCATTCTTTCACATATTGGGTTAATATAAGCATATTTATACCCAAGAGCGCTTGGATGAGATGGTTTGGGTCTCTTCCAGCTTAACCAGTGGTCTCGTGTTCGAACCCTGGGAATGCAGTAGTGTTAAAACTCTTGAGGGAGAGTTTTGCCGCCCTTGTGGTCCTACCCAGCTCGATTCCCGATTAGTCGGTTCTCTTGTGGATCCGGAAACCGGAAGGTCCCTTTACCAAAAAAAAATATAAGCCTATTTATTATTAATTCATAGCAAAATTTTCATATACACGAGAATTTTAAGAATAAATTTATTAAATTGCTGAAAAATATTTATCATATATCCGACCAACCATTATTCCCACAAATAATAAATAATGGTGATTTGCTTACAAATCGTGACAAAAAAAAAAAAGGCTTTTCTGAACCAAACCTTAGTGATGTTACTCCACGATCTGTTTTCATCTCTTTCACAATTTGAAAAAAGTTAGAGCCACTTTAATACAATCTTTCATGTACGATCACTAGGAAAAAAACAGTTTCTATAAGAGGTAAAAAAACCTTTTTATAACGGTTTTGATTTTGTTATAGTTTTAGACGTTATAGAATGTATGAAATTTCTATGACAGGTGTGACCTCGTTATAAATTGACTGTCATTTATATATTGACCCGTTATAACGTTTACCCGTTATAAACTACACTATTTATAACGGTTCTTCATTTACCCGTTATAAACTACACTATTTATAACAGTCGCCTTCATTCACCGGTTATAAACATGATTTTGTATATACTATAATTTATAACGGTTTACTAAATACATGTTATAAACATAATGTATTTGATAACGCGTAAATAATGACCCCTTATAATTTTGGAACAACATTAAAATGCACAACTTTTTTAAATCGTAGATAACACCTGTTATAAAAAGGGTGCAACATTCTATTTTTTTTTTAAAAAAAATAAAACTATCATATCAACAAACAGATAGGAAAAAAAATATCTACCATTACTTCAATGCAACACCAACAACATAGTTCAACTTCACAAACACAACAATACCAAGTGACAAAGAGTTTCACACCACATGTTCAACAAACTACCGAGCGTGTCTAACAAAAATTTAATCTTATTCTACTTCACTAATGAAATTATATCGAGAAAATACTGAGTCCAACGTCTCCTTACATCATCAATATCATCACTCGACATGGGTTTGTCCAAATTAAACACATGATATTTTATTTTTTTTTAAAAAAAAAAGGTAATTATAACATATGATCGAGACGAAAAGATAGATTAAATTATTTACTTCAAAGTATATTAGTGCTTGATATTTACAAATTATTTTCAATCAAAATTACCTAATCAAAGTTGTTAGTGACGTCGAGTGATGATTTCCAACATATATCTCATAATGAAATACCTGCATTCAACACCTCCTGATTGTCGGCGAGACTTGAATTAAAATATGAAAAGAATCGTATAACATTACTTATAAAAAATAAGATAAATGTAATGATTAAAACTATAGTAACAAAATGAAATGGCAAATTACAAAATAACATTATGTAAAAAATAAATTTACCTTTGGATAGACCAGCGCGAATTTCTTTAGTTTGTAGGGATGATTTCCCTTCATTACCTGATATGTAAAAGTTGCCTTAACATAATAAATGTAAAACATAAAATTTAGTTTCAAATAAATTCTAAGTATTAGATCGAAATCATTTGAAAATAAAACATACGTCATTAACTTGTGGAGCATATCAGTTTTAAGCTTTCTTGACAAGGAACAGAAACAAACCACCATATTCTTTTGATTATAATGAATTGCAGATGTTAATAAAACTATAAAAGAAAAGAATCTTTTTTTTATCATATTTGATTATATCTAGTTTGAAAACATATATATGCAATTAATGCATATATTTAAAAAACTTTAAAAAAAGGTATGCATTAAATGTTCCTAAATTTTTTGGCTACTATATTTAGTAAATGGTTTTTTTTTATAGATATATAGATATAGATTTGCTGGTTTCACATATTGGGTTGATATAAGCCCATTTATCATATGGCCAGAACTTAGAATATGTTTTTATATTTATCTTGACCAAAATATTATCAACATGAATAATGAAAAGTAAAAAAATTCTCTCGTTGGGGAGCGATTTTCTTCTCTCGTTGGGGAGCGATTTGCAGTTCTTTCGTCGATTCCTTGCTTTTCCTTTGTTGTCCTGTGCAATCTCCTGTTTTCCGCATTCATCCCCTTCTGTTCTTCCTTCTTTTGGCTCCTGCTCAGTCCTTTTTTATCCGTTTTCTGGGAATTAGGGTTTCTGTTCTATGGCAAGCCAATCTTTTATCGGGCACGACGATGACCTAGCGCAAAGGCTTGAAGAATTTTCGTTATCCACAACAGAAGATGTTATTATCGATCTAGCAACTACTGATATTCGATATAGTGCTGAAGAATGCCACAAGAGTCTATTTGGCAAAATAATTGGCGATCGTCCGGTCAGCTGGATGGGTGTCAAGCGTACGATGGGTTATATATGGAAAATCCGGCATCCCATGGAAGTGAAAGAATTGGGTTCGAATTTCTTTCAATTTATCTTCCAAAATAAGGAGGATCTCGATCGAGTAGCTAAAGGAACGAACTGGACTATTGATAACCAGTTTCTTCTCCTTACGGAATGGAAAGAGCGTCTCTCGGCTAATCACCCAGTTTTCCAAGAATTACCGATTTGGGTTCAAGTTTTCAACCTACCTCTCAACTGGCTTAGCATCGATGTGGGGCTAAAAATAGGTGCAGTATTCCCCAAACTCAATAATGTGGTAGTCGCTGGAGCAGGAAGTCATGGGGGCAAACTCCTTAGGCTCCTTGTGAATGTTAAGTTAGCAGAACCTCTGCCTAGGTGTGCTTCAATCAGACTGGGCGAGGAGCTGGTTAAAGTCAGTTTTAAGTACGAGAAATTGGTTAATATGTGCAACTACTGTGGCATAATAGGTCATTTAGATAGAAGCTGCAAGAAGAAAATGGAGGACATTGCTAAGAAGTCTTGTAAGGATGACCAATATGGGGATTGGATGAGGGCTCCAGAATTTCAGCAATGGGCAGTAACAACTTCTCCTAGTTCAAATACTCAGTCGGCAGGTTCCCCATCTACTCCAGTTCAATGCAACACTCCAAAGTCTTCTACCAGTCCAATCCCAGAGGCTAATCAACTTCTCAGTTTGGAAGAAGGCTTACCTATTCAAAATCCATCAGAGGTGCAAGACTCAAATGACTCAAAATTACCAAACAGGAAGCCTCCAGTGAAATCCCCTACTGATCTCATTCCAGCTGTCAACAATGCTTCTTCTTCAGAGCATCAAACCCACCAACCTCTAATGGAGATAATGGAGGGGGAGGAATCATCTCCACCTCTCCTTCTTCAATCTTCAACCCAAGTTGCTTGCCCGGATCTACTTATGATAGAACAGTCCCCCTCTTGTTCTAAAACTTGGAAGAGAGCTCCTCGCAGAGATGGTAGGTTATCTCGGAATTCTGACACCTTAGTTCCCTCCAAGGCAATTACCACTGAGAAGAAAAGAACTGCCCCTGAAAATTATGAGCAGGAAGATGAAGTGGATGACAGGAGGAACTCCGATATGTTGAAGAAATTTAAATCATCGAAGGTGGAGGCGGCCAGCCTTGAGTGGCGCCCGAGTGATCAATGTTAGCCGCGGTGTGGAACTGTCGAGGACTGGGTGGGCCCTCGACGGTTTCCCAAATCAAAGAGACTTTTAGATCTCACCACCCCTATTTCTTCTTTATTTCTGAAACCAAAAATTCTTCTTCTTTTGTCACTACGGTTGTTCGTAAGCTGGGATTTCTTGATCGTTATAAGTTGGTGGATCCGATTGGTTTGAGTGGCGGGTTACTTCTTCTTTGGTCTACCGAAGTTTCGATAGCGCAAATTGTTTGCCATGACTGTTGTATAGCCGTGGAATACTCTGTTAACAATGAAGAGCTGAGTTGGGCAGTTTTTGTTTACCTTAGTCCGTATGCTGCTGTTAGAGCTGAGCAATGGAAACTGCTTGAAGAGGAGAAACTCAAATGGAAAGATACTTGGTTCATGATAGGAGACTGGAACGACATATGCTCCACTTCTGAAAAACTGGGAGGTATTCCAAGAAGTGTCAACAGCCTTGCTGGGTTTAATAACTTTATCAACTCGATGTCTATGGAGGAAATCAGGATGCATGGCTTCCCTTACACTTGGTGTAACCACAGGTTCTCTGAAGGGCTCATTCATGAGAAGCTCGATCGAGGTTTTGGCTCTATGGATTGGCTCCAACTCCATCCCAATGCTTCTATCACTACCTTAACTCGCAGTGCTTCAGATCATTCTCTTCTCCTCCTCAACTCTGGTGCTCCTTCTCTCAAAAGTTCCCGCAGATTTCATTTTGATAAACGTTGGTTGCTCAGAGAAGATCTTAAAGAAGTGGTCAAGGCTGCTTGGTCTCAAAGTCACTCAGGCACTCCATTTTATGTTCTGAAAGAAAAAATCAAATGTACAAGGCAAGCCCTTATCCGTTGGAGTGCTAAATTCAAATCTGAGAACCAATCAAAAATAGACCATTTAACTGCCAAGCTTGAGCTTTTGAGAACTTCAAACCTTGCTGACAACTGGGAGGATTGGACGGATACTAAATCTGAGCTTGAGAAGGCTCATCACTCTGAAGAGCTCTACTGGCAGCAGAAAGCTA